CTAATCCAATCTGCCAAAGGACACGGTTACAGACCAGGCCCAGAACCCGAACCCAAATAACAGCGAGACCCCCGATTACCAGTCGTAGCGGCTGATAGTCCGATTCAAGTGATATCAACAATCTTCTTATGAGCTCGGGAAAAAAATCCTTTCAAAGATGGATTTGGAGTTGAAACAAAAAATAAACCCAAACCGTGAAACAAAAGATGCTTTTCATTCTCAGTGTTCAAAGCTCGAAAATAGAAGATCCTTCTTGTTCTCCTATGACGGAGCAGATCAATCAAATCGAGCCAGTCAGTGCTTATTGGCCTATCTTGGAATTCTCGTTTCCCCGAATTGGGGGGAGTTTCTTTTTTCCCTTTATTCTGAAATGTGGCAGGGGAAGAGTTAGTTATCGTCGTTTGAACCGCTCACTGAATAACTGATTCAAAGATGTTGACTATTGACAACACTTTCAACCCATGTTACGAACATCTCTCTATCGAATTTTACACGGATGTGTAGCAAGGGTTAAAACTCTTGACGGTACTTTCACTAAGGATCGCTTAAAACCCTTGTAACGCATAACAAAAGTAGCATTGCTTGGGTTCGTCAAGGATTTGGAAAAATTATTGCTACATCTTGTAGCAAGGAAAACCATCGTCGTAGACTCCCCCCCCCCCCCCCCCCCCCCGAACACACTTCACTTCTTGAACTAAAAAATTGATAAGAGTCATTTACCGAGTTGATTGTGTTTCGTGATGCTTAGGGATGTCAATTGAACCCAAATTTATGAGTACTTAACTAGATCCAACCTGGTCAAACTAGGTAAAACCCAGTGTTGACGGGTTTTGAATCGGGTGTGGGTCTTACCCGTTTTCAAAATTGGCAAGTCAGATTTCGGTTTTGCCAAAATTCAACCCGCTTTCCCCTCGATCCGCTGGCGAAAAGCAAAACGACTTCGTTTTGTGTCCAACCTTAATAATATGGATATTTTACTGAAGTTATTAGTCCTTAATTATAACAATAGAGCTTGATAATATTGATAATTTATGGATGCTATTAGTCTGTATGACAACATATTATAGGAAAATTTTGACAGTATTATGATGTTGTGTTCGGAGAAATCATATGTGATTATGTTCATGAACAAGTACTCATGTAGATACCTATATGCTGGATTGAGTTTTCTCAATATGCTGCATTTTATTTGAAAAGCCCAACCCAACCCAATTCATTGACATCCCTACTTGGTGGGCTACTGTCCATTGAGGCATTGACTAATTCTCAATCTTCCCCTCGCCCAACTCAAGCTATCCCCTAAATTTGCCAGACCCAACCAGTGTAGGCCCAACATGGGCCATAAGAAGAACAGTAACGGCCTAGCTAGTCCTTCATGATAACTTAACCCTTATCTATAACATAGTAGGGCTTTAGACGTGTGAGGCCCATTTGATAACAAAGCTCGCACAACATCTAAATAAAAAAATATGCCTCCAAATTAAATGTCCCAAAAAAACTACCAGCAATGGGTAGAATGAAAATTCGAACAGGATGGCAGGCTTTGGCAGGATTGGTCTATTCACAATTTTATGACTTCTTTACAATTTAAATTTTGCATGGGAGGTAAGAGGTGGTTGGCTTGTTGATTTTTAATGATGAAATTGGTACCAAATACAAATCATTATGGAATTGTTATAAATCCTTTGTTAGCTTGTGAACAATGAAAGAAACAAATTAGTGTGATCTACAATTTTGGTCCTAAACTAATAGAGCTCAGGACTTTTAAATCCCTAAAATTATGTATGCTTTCAAACAAGACTTCAACTCCATGATACCAATACACTTATGTATTCTAATAAGATTCTAATATCAAAATATAATCATACAAATACTTCAAAATAATTTAATTACAATTCTACATTGTTAATATAAAAAATAACTAAAAGAAATAACATCAATGTAATACAACATCAATCGTGAATTCATAATCCAAATTCAAATTCCAACATAAAATTATAATAATTAAACGTCTTCATCCAATTAGCGAGTACTGACTAGCAAGGCATCAAATACAAGCAACACAAGTGGAGTCAGAGAGGGTTTACTTTCGGGTTCTGACTCTTAAACATATTTGAGACTTTTGGTGGAGGGTTGTTTGCAATAGGTGTAAATTGGGATGTTTGAAAATTCAAATTTGGTTATGAACCTTGAGACTTTTCTCCTTAGCCAAAGGCTAAAACTATGTGGTTATACTAATAGGCGGTTATCGATTTTCTTATCGGTTATTAACCTATAAATCAGTTAATGCCATTAAACAAAATACAGCTAACTGAAATAGAACTACTAAAAAATTATAGTTAACTACTAACCGTCTTTATAATTTAAAACTGATAACCAATTAACCGTTTATCACCCCTAGAGAGAACCACACAGGCTCAGTTTTTTTTTTTGTTTTTGAAAAGAATGCATAGAGAGAGTTTTGATTTTGGTTGAGTTTCGATACCTCTAAAACTTGTAGAAAAAATTCTATTTATCTCTATCTAAAACTAGAGGAGGTTGGTGCTATTTATTGGAAATGAAGAGATGCATGTGAAATGAGACAACTCTTAGGATGGGTGGTTGAGCCCGAATCGTTGCATTAGTTCGTTCAATATCTCCAATCATTACGTCGGTTCATCCTATGATAGGATTTACTCCAAGAACCATCCAAGTCCGCCTCGGTGAAGATATAATCGATGTGATTCGAGTTGGTTACACAAACCAATCCTAATGAGTATCTAAAGATCAAATTTATCGAGAAATCAAAACTGTCTTCTCACATTTCACCAACATAGTATTTCAAGAGAATACCACGTTTCTCTTCACTCCTTCCTCTTTTCATTCACATTCACACCAACTAAAGTCTCAACGAACTTTGCTGCTAGCCTGTCGATTGAGTGTGTGCGATATATTGCTGTCAAGAGCGTGCCCGTTGTGTGCATCGATCTATTGTGTGGGTACGAAGAGATGAACGTGACTCCTCAGAATTTCCAACGCAACAACACCTTGTGGTCCTAACTATAAAGATATACGCAGTCGATCCTTTTTGCCTCTTTACTTTATCGTATGGTCTAATATACTTAGGTCCATCCAAAGTCTGCAACCTTTGCTCTAGCCACCATAATAATTCATATATAGGCGAAAACCATATAAATGTTTTGGCACTGGATCTGGATCGATCAGCCGACGCCCAAAAGAACGATAAATTCTTGGCACTGGATCCTAATTAATGTTTTGGCACTGGATCCTAATTACTGTTACTCTTTACTAATACGAAAAAGATGATCCCATTAAGGTTTATTCGTTATATAATTAACAGAATATACGGTTAGACTTGAATTGAGGACTCTACTTACTTTAGGTACGTTTATATACGTAGATTACCTTATTATGTAGAGGTTCCTAAGCTGAACTGTTTGTGAAGGTTTGTTTGCAAACCTAGAGCCTATATACATGATATACACTTAATCCTGTAAAGCAATTAAGCTGAATAAAATCGTTCTTAGGGAGTACTACTACTATCTCTCTCGTGACTAGTTCCGATGAATTATGAGGGAAATCAGGTAAACTTTTGTGTTCATGTTCTTCGATTTCTATTGATCATGTTCATCATCATATGGTATAAGATCCTCAAGTCTTTTGATCATTTCGGCCGCCTTTGATCATCTGTCTCAATTTTGTTTGCTGCTCGCTAGGGTTCCTATCTTGGGTTGTTCTCTTGTGGTATGAATATACAATAGCATAGAAGGATTTTTTACTTGATGATATGAATATTTCCTATAGTATAGAATGGTTGTATACATTATAATAGGAAGGAATATATTAATCACCATTAATCATCTTTCACAACGATCTATCATCAGTTGCCACCCTATACCATGGTGGTATATGATAGTATTTTTAATCATCAATTTTTCCTTATAAATTTATAAATCACGACGAATACGTTCCTTGAGTTGAAAACGAAGATGGTACTAGAATGGTAATGAGTGGTAATGGATGGTATGAAAAAATTCTCAAAATATATAAAACATGAATGTCATTTTAAAGATTACAATCAACACTTATCATCTGTGAAAAAAGAAAATCATAATTTGAGTTAGTATAAATAAAATGCAATTTGATTAAAAAATGGGGAAAATAAAAATATTTTTAATCTCAGGTTTTAGATTTGACCTCACTCTAGTCAAGAGGTCAGATTTAGTCATGTCTTAGACTGAAATACCACCCCACCACGTACATTTCCATTAATTGCCAAAAAATGAAATGTGAAGCTTAACCATAGGAATGGAAGATGATCTCTTAATTTAGAATGGATAACAGCAACAACAACACAAGGAACCGATTAAGAGAGAAAGACTAACTAGATAGCATGGACGTTACTTTCAATATTTCGTGATACAAAAGTAGGGGCAAATCAAGGATAGCCAAGCAAGGCAATACAAACAAAACAGAAAAAAAGCATGAGTACAAAAGATATGTACATTTTAGCCTACTATTTTGTTTTCTCCTCCTTCACCATAAATTCATGTGATCTTCTAAGCCATATCCCTCATACACCCACCAAATGCTAAACAACAAAACCTAAATTAAAAAAAAAAAAAAAGCCCTACAACCTACACCGTAGCAAGTTCTTCATTCTCCTACTACCAAGTACCAAAGGGAAAAAGGGTGTTCTTCATTCGTAGAAATAGCCATGTCGTCTTCTCCCCACCACGAACTTGTCTCCATTCCCTTTTTGCAGCCTTATAACAAAATATGCAAAAGGAAAAAAAGAGCACAACAACTTGCCTTGCCCTGTCACTCTAATCTCATGTCAATGTTGCATGAATCATCCCATCCGACATCATTCACGCCCCTTTTCACGGAGGACCATTTCTAATTTTTCCTCGAAAGCAACCAGAATCAGAATCGAATCGAAACAAGACCGAACCTTAGACCTCTCCCTACCTTGTATCTAAATTCCTGAACCACTAACTTCAATTCTCTCCTAAACCACCTGGCACCCAAGCTGTGGCAAAAACCGAGTTGTGTCCCTTCCAAGTGAGCACCAACATCTCCTCGTCTCTCTTCATCCCCCAACCACTAGCATGCTCATCCAACAACGACTTCACTTCTTTAACAGTTTCCTCACAGAACATCACACCCGAGAACCCGACGTTCTTCATCCTCTGACATAGCTTCGCCCCAGACTCCAACCTCTCCATCCTCTGGCACCCTTCGTGGCTGATCACGTTCTCGATCTTGTGCCCCACGTCCGACTCGTACTCGATCCTCTGCGCGCTGTCTTTAGGAAGAAATGTCTCCAGAGCATCGAACGGGATCCACAGGTAGTTGAAACAGTTTGTGATCCTCGTCGTCAGGCTCGACACGTTGAGATCCGCATCCTCGTCGACCACCACCACGATGGCCGGATTCAACCCCATTATCGTATGGAGGAAATCATCCCTCAACGACGAACCCGCAGACTGTTCCTCATCGTCGTCGGGCATGGAGCGAAGCCAGTTCTGGCAGTTCACCACGATGACCTCGTCGTCCCTGAACAACGAGGACAGCTGGTGCGGATCCACCAGGCTGGTTAGCAACGACTCGAAGTAGCGGTGGAAGGTATCATACATGGAATTTCTACACAAAGCAATGTTGTTGTTGTCGAAACTCGTAGTGGTACTCCCTCCTCCTCCTCCTCCGATTATATTGAACTCGAACTCCACGTCACGAAACCTAGCGAAGTTGCTCAACCTTTGGCCGACTTCCTCGCACGAGACGTTGAGGAAAGGGGGGACGGGTGGCCGGACGGACGGCACGGTGATTCTTAAAGACGGCGGGCCTTCCGGGCGTTTCGCCAGCGCGTCGATGAGAGTGGGCCACTGAACGCAGTGGGTGACGCTGAAATCGAGCACGTGGACTTTGGAGCAGCCTCGGATCGCCTTGAATATCGCGCTGTTGGAGGCGCAGAACCCGAAGGTGTGCCAGGGGATGAGGTCGACGTACCCGGCGAGCTCGGTGACGGTCATCTGGCGCCGCCTGTCGATGGCGGAGGAGCCGTCGAAGTGGTGCATGGTGGCGGTGGGGCAGACGTTGGCGGCGCGTGAGATGAGGGCGCGGAGGAACCAGGAGGTGAGGCGCTGGTTGGGGTCGCCGCTGAGGGAGGCGACGTTGTTGAGGACCCACATCACCTGCTGGGCGAGCGTCCACTCCTTGCCTTCGAGGGCGCTGGCGCAGTGGAGGAGGAGCTTCTCGATGCACGCGCCGTCGAGGCTTCCCAGGCACCCCGTGAGGGCGCCGGAGATGGTCGGAGCCGCTGCCGCAGCGGTGGTCGTGGTGGAGGAAGGTCGTTGGTGGAGAGTGGAAGGGGTGGCGGTGAAGAGTTTGTTGTTAGGGTTTTGGATAGAGATGGACGCAGCGGCGGTGTTTCCTCTGAGCTCGGTCTTCATGGCTCTGCTAGCTGCTCTAACGATTTTGAAGGATTCGAGTTGAATCGAGTCGAGTTGAGTTGCGAGTTTGTGATCTTCAGAGGTTGGAAAGGAACATGTTGTTTTTGTGAGGTGAGGGTTGTTGGGGGATGTTTCTTTAGGGTTTTGAATGAAGTTGGGAGCTTTGTTGGTGATGGTAGATGAGAGATGGAATTGGAAAGAGAGGAGTGAATCAAAGAGAGCCATATATATATAGAGGGAATGTTTATGTTGAATAATTATGGAGAGTATGAGGCCGAAAACTTTCTTGCTGGAATGAACCTCTCACTCTCAAGATTTCTCCCTAAAATACAATGGATAGTACTGGAGTTTAGTGTGTAGATAAAACAAATATATATTATAGACCATTTCCAAATTTCCATTTGTAGTTGAATTATGGTTGGTGTGATGACTAGTGACTCTCAGCACAGAACCAAATCATGACTTTTTTTTTTATTGAATGTAAGTGGCCACTATGAGTAGGGCTTTTGTAGCTAGTTATAACTATGAGTAGAGGATTTATATAGTGGTAAAAGGTGGGTAGTTAGTTAGAACTAATAAGTAAAAGTTTACGTAACTCATAAAATTAGATAAAATTTTGAACCGAGGCAGAGAATGAATGAATGCCATCAACGCAATCAAATTTGATGAGATGTAGCAGAGAGACGGATTGAGAATGAATTTTATATGAGTTTCAAGATTGAATGTTTTATCAATTTCATGTATCGTTCTCTTTAAATGAGTGCCCGTCAACTAGGTTTGAAAACTTGTACATGATTATTATAGCGTTCGTTCATCAGATCTCTTGATCATGAGAAGTAAGAGCCACACAGAGGCTGAATGTAGCTAGTTTGTTATTAGCTCAGTAGAGAGCTTGCGAGTTGACTCACATAGGATTCCTTAAAAGTGTACTGTTCACTCATGTTTTGTTGCGTGTGCAAAAGTAGTCCGAATCCGATAAATATTGGTCGGTCAGAGAGAGTTCTTTGGATTTGGAATTAATCCCTTAATTAATTACCCTCTTAATTATTCCCCTTTCTTTATATATACATGAATTAGTAAGGTGAAGGATAGGTTAAGGAAGTTGTCTTAGCCGGCTGCTCTTTTGTCGAACTTGTGACCAATTCGAATGGAAATGAATTAAGGACAAATCAAACCCTAATGAGTACATTATTTTTAACTAATTAATTAATTTCGTTTAGGTTTAATTCATTCCTTAAAATAATTTTTATCTATTTGAGTTTCGTCCCTTATGGTTGATGGCTACCCTTCATTCCATCCTTCCACACACGCTCATGAAAAAATAATTTAAAAAATAGTAAGATAGAAATTATAAATTGGTTGTGTATTATGATCATGTGTAGCCAACGGTGAAGACAAGGCAGTCCTCTTCCTACCTGCAGGGGCCCATTCGATAATTTTACGTATTCTCTCTAGAAATATTAATTAGATTATATAATGTGTACAAAATTCTTCATTCCAACCAACATTAAATATTAAATCATAAAATAGAGAGATCCCAACGTAACCGATAAGTAAAAATGTATTACGCCAATCAGTCCTGTGTAGTGAATTGGACATCTGAGATCTTTGTAAAGTTTCATAATATGAGAAGTTGTGTGTTTGAGGAGTAGGAGATGGAATGAGTACATGATAGGGCTGGGAATTCGGTCCCGGTTTTCCGGTCAAACCGGAAACCGGGCAGTTAAAACCGTTCCGGTTGCAACCGGAAACCGGATACCCATTAACCCAATCCAATTTACAGTTATGATGAAGGTATAAAAAAACTGGGCCGGTCCAGTCCGGTTAAAATCGGAAAAACCGGATAGTAAATTATAAAGCCCAACCCAACCCAGCCTAACTATTAAAGCCCACTACCCCAACTCCCCAAGCCCGCCAGCGACCCAGCCCATCTCACCCAGCCCGCTCCCTAACCCTAATACCAGACTCTCTGTTCTCTCCCCACTCTCCCAGCGGCCGTCAAGCTCAATCATACAACATATCTCGATTCCCAAAACTCCTATCAATGAAAAAAAGACAGACACCCACCCTCAACTCGCAACTCACTCACCTCACCGAGCTCTTCCCCTTCTCGATTCCTCTATCCTCCTTCACCCAATCCTGCGGAGAGAAGAGGCAGAGTAGCAGCAACGGCGACGAGGCGAGGCTCTAGTGGCGGGACAACCATGTCTGTCAGAGGTGGAATCCGCGGAGAGTTGAGACTGAGCAGCAACACCGACGAGGCGATTGCATGTCGAATCAGCCATTGCATGTCGAATCTGAGATGAAAAGAAGACCAGTAGCAATGGAGTTTTGGACCAGGGGATGGAGGTCGACGCAGCGATCGGGGAGAGAGGATGTGGTGGCGGGGAGGAGGATGGGAGAAAGGTCGAGAATGGCAAAGGAGAGTGATTTAGATTTCTTGGTACCAGAAAGAGGCGTTGAGATGAAATTGAATGGAATGAGAGATGGAAAAGATGAGACTATGAGAGAGACGATGACGGTGGGATTGGGTCTTGTGTCTGATTTTCTTTTTCCAATTGAACGGATGCGTTTTGGGATGGAAGAAGGAAATCCGGTTTTTCGGTTGAAACCGGATCAATCCAGTCCGGTCACGGTTAAAACCGTGCACCAATCCAATCCCGTCTACGGTTGGGTATATATCCAATCCGTTATAAAAAACCGGGTCAATCCGGTCCGGTTTAAACCGAACCGGACTGTTTCCCAGCCCTAGTACATGAGATAGTGCAGTCAAAGATGAAAGTTTACTAATATATCAATACTAGCTTTTTACCCGGTCTGTCGGTCGGAGAGATTTATTTTATAATTTATATTTATTAATTTATTTATATGTTTAAATCATTTTGGATTCCAAATATTTTGTGTTCTTGATTCATAACAGAGTTTGTAGTATGTTTATATTGAAAATTTCCAATATTTAGCACACTCACTTGTGATGCTTCGGGTTTCTAATCATAAATGATATCACCGTCACGTCCCATTTAGAACTTATGTCAAAATTTATCAACGAAAACACTAATATTTAGCGTACGCCAACCTGAACTCCCCCTCCCCCCTCCTCCACACACATATAGTTCAAGCTAGCGTGCGCCAAGATTATGCTATACTCTTGTGTTCACACTACCATACGACCATTGAGTTATACTATTTAGACCACGAATTAACCGAAATTTTTTGGGGCATGATACTATACCCTAACATCTAATAGGTGAACTCCAGTCCCTAATTCTCTAACCTCTAATTTATGGGCATACTTCGTCATATCTATCTTCTATCGTATCTTGAGTAAAATCAAAAGTATAGTATACCTTGATATTGGGCGGCTTCTACGATACCCCAGGTGAGATCTAGGGTACCACATACCTAGAGTATGAAAAAGCTATCTAGAACTCGAATTAGTAGGATTTTTGGGTCAGATAATATACCCTAACCCTTAATGAGTGAATTCTAGGTCCTAATTATCTAAATCATAAACTGTAAACCCTAAGATGGTGCATTTATTTTTTGCCTATATTAGGACGAATCATAATCCTCGATCATTGTTTCTAATTAAATTGATCTTGGGATATAAGATTTAGAGAATTAAAACCTAGATTTTGATGTCTAAGGGTTGGAGTATAGTATCATGTTCGAAAGATCAGTCAATTCAAGGTTTGGATAACGTTTTCATGCTCAAGGTATGCGGTACGCTGAATTTCACCATAGGTAACGTAGAACTCACTCCTTGATATTATATATATGTATATGTGTGTGTGTGTGTGTGTATAGTAGACTCAAAATTATCCACATACTTCATCAGACCTATCCTATCTCGCATAATACTCATATTAAAAGTGCTACTTGCCTATCCCCCATTCGCGGGATAGAGATCCCGCTTTTACCCCCACAACGTCAGACAACCATTAGGGTTGTCTATCGTTCGATATATATTATATAAAAAGGCAAATCCTAAGATCCTGCTATTTATTTCTTATCCTCTCCCACAATCCCCTTTATGGAGAATAAAATTGTAGGGCTGACAGGATCATAGCTCAATATGGTTTTATTTTGTTTATCGTATCAGAGGTTATTTTCTTTTTTGCTTTTTTGGGGCTTCTTTTCATTCTTCTTTGGCACCTATGGTTGTGATCAGAGGTATTTAGCCCCCAAAAGGGATTGGAATTTTATGTCATTTGGAAATCCAATACACATTCATGATCCTCGAGTTTGGACGAACTCTCGACCAATGTTGTAACGATACTTCGTTATTGGATCAATTTATTCATCTATATTGAAACTTGACACACACTGTAGCCCTCATGATGATTAACTTCTCTAATCTCGATTCATTTCTATTTTGGATGTTAGTTTTTTTATCAAGACACTTAAATTTAATATATTATACAATATGTATCAGTTGTTAATTCTTGAAGTTTAGACTAACCCTCAACCCGTGGTCATTGTTTATATGTTGGCTTGGAATCTCAATCTAAGACACACATACACTATCAAGGATTTTGTTCTTAACATGGTCGTTAAATGTGTAATTTTCAAAGATTTTATCACTTATATATTAATAATTGATAAAGAGTGTCTACAATACACACATATTTCAAGTGCATGTAAAATGTATTATCATTTGAACAATATCGGTGGATTTAATTTGATTATTTGCATTAACTTATTATCTTATACAACATATATCAATTTGTGTTTCTCGGGTTTGGACGAACTGGCAAACAATTTAGAGAGTTGAGATGATTGGATAAAGATACTTGATTTTTGGATAAATATGTTTATCCGAATTGACTATCTTACTAAAAATTGCCAACCTTTATTTGGTAAATGCGTAGGTTATTAATTGATGAAACGTGATGTTTATCGTATATAGATTGTCAACAAAGATTACTTTAACCTTCACATATGTTATTTTTCAAGGAATGTTGTGTCTCATCAAGGAATGTTTATAGTAGATTGTCAAC